CTGGTCTCTGTTAGATGGAAATAGTGGGGACAGGTGCTCCGAGAGGTTTACACGGCTGCAGGTGTTTAGAGAAGGTTGAGTTGAAGTTGAGCGGCTCTTTAGCCCTCTGATGCTTTAGCTCTGTTACACTTGAGGGCCTTTACTTTGCTAATGCCATTGCATTTTTTTTCTTTTTTTTTCCTGATCTCTTTTGAGCAATCTCAAGCAAGCATCACAGCTTGTGGGAATTCTGTTCTAGTGTTCTCACACCACCTGCGAGGGAAAAGCAGCAGAGAAGTCAGCTTACCTGGGTGGCAAGATGACAGAGTGGAGGACACTCTGGTTCACTGAACATCCACCCAGTGGCACTCCCCGTGCCCACACTCCCTGGCACGCCCTGTGCCTACACTCCCCGCTTCCATCCTCACAGCAGCTCAGGTGTGACCACAGTGCCCATTTCTGTTGGGGACCAAATTCCATCACTGAAGGTCACGTCCTTACTAGGGGTGCTAGGGTCTGTTGGACCTGAAGCGAGGCCTGTTTGACTCTGTGATGGCGAGAGCTAGCTACTCCTGGCTGGCACTCGTCCCCACCCTACTCGTCCACCTGCAGGAACCCTTGAGGCACTAGGCTTCTGTCAGGTTTTTTTTCTCTGTGTCCACGCTGGTCATACTTGGCAAGTCTGAGCAGCTCATGGGATCCTATGCACAGAGAATCGTGCACGGGGGCAGAAGGCTGGAGCTTGAAGTGACCCTAACCAGAAAGCTCTGCTACACCTGCCCTTGTGCTGCCTTTTGTCTGCTTGGCATCCTATCCCTGCCCTACAGCCATGTGGCTGCACATCTCCATTCTCTGAAGCCCTGGGGCCCAGGCCCATGCCAGCAAGGCTACCAGACCCCCACGAGGCTCTCTTGGCTGTGGTGGCCAAAGGTGGGCTCTGTGGTGGGGGGTTGGGGGAGCCAAAAGGAGAGATGCCAGCTGGCAGTGGGTGAGAACCCGGGGCTGGCCGTGCTGTGCAGCTGGAGGAAAGACGTGTCTTTCAGGGAAAGCATAATGAAAGATTTGTTCCCTGCCATTCCCAACTTTATCTCATGAGTCAGTGGGGAGAGCAGGCAGCCCTCAGTCACTGCCACTCATCTTTTTAAAAGTTTTATTCATTACTTGAAACCTGAGTTACAGAGAAAGAGAGAGGTATTCTATCTGCTTGTTCACTGCCCAAATGCAACAGTCGGAGCTAGACCAGTCTGAAGACAGGAAGCAGGAGCTTCATCCGGGTCTTCCACGTGGGTACAGGAGGCCAAGTACATGGACCATCTTCTGCTGCTCTCCTGGCCATTTAGCAGGGAGCTGGATTGGAAGTGAAGCAGCCAGGACTCAAACCAGTACCCATAGGGATGCTGGCACCACAGGTGGCAGCTTTTGACCTGCTAAGCCGCAGTGCTCATTCTTGACTCATTCTCCTACTCATGCTTGACTCATTTGTCCAGGGGACAACTGGAAAACCCATGCATGTTTCAGGCTTACCCTGCATGTCTGCCTCTCCATCTGCACTCCTCTTCCGAGGCCCCTGTCTCCAACTACCACTTGGACCTGGTGCTGTCCTGAGTCTGGAGTCACAACCCCCTCATTTCCCACACTTAGTGTCTGCTCTTGCACAGCACTGTCAGGTCACATGGGAGCCCACAAGCCAGGTCCTCCCCCACACCCGTGCCTGTCCTGGCCTCAGGTCCTGTCCTTGTCATCTCCCCCTCGACCATTGCAATAGTCCGCTCTCCTCTGCTGCATGCCACGGGTTGCTGCCAGACGTGTACCATGCCTTTGAGATGCCTTGGTGCAAGTGTCAGCCACAGGGGTTGGCATTTTCCGAAGCAACCTTGCACTTGACGCATAACTGAGCCCCATGGTGTTGGAGGGTGGGGAGTTAGGCAGACAAAGGAAGAGGGAGATGACTCTGCCAGCAGACAGGAATGGCAGGGACATGATATGTGCACTCTGGGGGGACCTTGAGCATGCAGCTTTTGATGAGTTTTGAAGGGCAAGCTGTGTGGCAGCAGCCACTGCATCTACCTAACACTGCCTGTCCAAGCAGCCTGAAGCTTAGCTTGCTGACAAGCCCACAGTGTATACAGAGCTCAGTGGGGTTCACTGATCTCTGCTTGGTTTGGCATCAAAGGCTGGGGCTGGCAGCACCTGCAGGCTTGCTCAATAACATGCTTGGCACTGGACGCTGGCTGAAAGCTAATGCCTCAAACATGGTTGTTGGCCGAGCACCAACAGGTGGCCTCTCCGGGAGAAGAGAAGCCAGAGACCATTGTGGGGGGTGGTGTCTGAGTGCTGGGGTCCCAAGGGAGAAAGAATGTACCTTAGGTACAAACCTCAGAGGCACCTGTTCCCCTCACTGAAGCAAGGATCTGGGGTGGGCCTACAGCCAGAGGAAGAGAACACAGACTCTGCCTGCTGATGCAGTGTCCTTGTCACGTGACAGAGGTGCCTGTGGGTGAGAGAGGGTGGCATGGCCATCTTTGCAAGGTATGGCCAGCCTCAGCAGGTTGTGCATCCGAAGAGGTAGGCAGGACACAGGACCTGGACCGCATGGACGCCAGTCATGCCAGGGGGCATTGGCTTTTGTTCTGGAGAGAATGGAGGCTGTGGAGAAATGGGATTGTGGCATAATGAGTTACACCCGTGCCAAAGCTTTCTCTGCAGGGGGTTTCCTGGAGGAAAGGAGCAGGCAGGCAGGGGAGGTGTGGGAGTCTGCTACAGAAATTCAGGGGAGCCAGAGGAAGGGCTTGAGCCCAGGCTCATCTGTGGAGGAATGAGACCATGCAAGGGACACCCAGACACCAGGGAGTCCTAGCCAGGGTGAATGTTGGGGAGTGAGAAAGTGGAGGCATTGTGCAGAATTCCCAGTGGGGACGAGAATGGAAGAAACATAAAAGTGGCCTGTGAGGAAGAGAAATAGCTCTGTTTGGGAAGTGACTGCATGATGTGAGGTGTCTCGGTGTCCAGGTGGACACCCCCCAGCAGATGGTGAAATGGTTAGATGGACCTCAGCGGGGATGTGGGGCTGCCCCAGCGCATGTACCAGAGGGGTGTCTCCCCAGAGAAGAGGACTGTGTAGGGGTGGGGAGAAGTGTTCAGCCTCTAGGGAGTGGCCCCAGGGAAAGGCTCTGCCAAGGCAAGCCGGAGCAGGTCTCCTGCTTGGAGTCCGGCCTGGGCCAGGGTTCATCTGGGCTGCAGCGTGTTGGGATGCCCAGTGAGGCTGGGAAACCGGGCTGTGTGCTGGCCCACAGCCTGCTCCATGGACTTGACCTCTCGTCTGCTGCCGTGGGGATTTCCACGATGCTTTTGCCTTTGCCCCTAAACCTTTGCCTGTTCTCCCCTGCACACAGGGCCACAGTCTGTCCCCTGCTCCTGTGACTGTAGCCTACTAGAGGAAATTTCCCAAATAACTTGTTTGGGGATCTTCCTATACCTGCCTTGATTTGCCTGTTTCTACTCTTGGACCCAGTGTCTATGAGCATATTTCAGGATATCCCTGCCCTCTGCATCTGGGTGATTTTGAATCAAGGCTAAGTAGGCCTGACTTAGCCCAGTTATGCTGCGGTTTGGGGAAACCAAGGCAGGGCAGTGCAAGGGTGAATGAGGTGCAGACAACATGGCTGAGGTCGCCCTGCTGCACAGCTGTCGGGCCCAGACCTCCAGCTCAGCCACCCAGGCGGCTGCTTCTCGGGTTCCTGGCTTCTGGAACTCCGTCACCACATCTGTGCCAGATCATCCTCAAAAACGCCTCTCTCCCAAAACAGTGAAAGTTGGAGTGTGTTGAGATAAAGCCTAGTGGGGGGCTGTGGGGGGAGGCAGGTGTGGGGGTGCCCTATGCTTCTGACATGGGAGGAGTGCGGTGGCTGAGGGTCAAGGTGGTTCCTGTGTGCTGTGCCCAGGGACACACATGCTGAGCCTGCCAAGTTGCCCTTTCCATTCTCTGGCCTGGCATGTGGGTGACCCCACAGCATGGAGCCAGCTGATCTCCTGGGAAGATCAGCTCAGCTCTAGGAGGGAACAGAGCTGGAGGAGGAACCCCAGGTGCTCTCGGGAGGTGCCAGCCCTTCTGGGAAGGGAGAAAGTCTGGCCTGCTGTGAAATGTAACCCCTCCCCCGCTCCACCTTGAGGAAAACCCCAGCCCCTCGGGCACCATCCAGGGCAAGCTCAGAATCTGCAGGAGCCCAACCCAACAACTCAGAAACCCAAGAGCAGCTGGGTTTCTCCAGAGCTACCCAGGGAGCTGGCCAAGGATGCCACACAAACCCTCCCTGCTACAGCCTGTGCCCTTCCCTGCGCACCTCATGTGTGCTTGGTGCCACGGGCCGCAGAGCGCACGTGGGGCAGGACACAGAGATAGGTGGCCTCTGGGAAGGGTTTTATCCCCTGTCAGGGAGCAGGTACAAATGCAGAACTCAGAGAGCTGCTAAGAAACTGCCGACAAACGCGGCGAGGACAGGAAGGCGACCCTTGTTCAGGCCAGGTGGGCTGGAGACCACAGCGCAACTGAGGTGGGCCCTGGAGGGTGCTGACGGGGCTGGAGGACAGTTCGGTGCTGTGAGCTGCCCTGGCTGGGCCTGGTCTTCAGCCCTTGTGGGGACACAGAGGGGCATAGATGAGCAGCCTGTCGGTACTGGGGTGCTGTTAGGGCAGCAGTGTCAGTTGATGAGTGTCCTAGAGGCATGCCTGGGCCCTCAAGCCTTTCCTTTGGGAGTGACTTTGCAAGCCTGTTGTATCACAAACAGCCTTGCGGTTTCACTGGGCTGTTTGTGCTAACAGCAATATGAATGCAGTGAGGATAGGAAGGTTGGCATTTTTGGAGTACTTCTCGTGGGGGCATGGCACACGGGCAGCAGGGATGGCATTTCACCCTCAGGAGCACCTTGCGAAGCCTGGGTGAGGAGCCAGGTGCCCCGGCTGTTGGCCCCTGGAAGGGGAGGCTCCTGGAGCACTGGCCTCAGCTCCCACCTCCGTCCCAACAGATGTTCGTGCTCTGCCATGGCCTCCTGCAGCTCTCCCAGCTCCTGTACAGTGCCTACTTCAAGAGCAGCCTCACCACCATCGAGAAGCGCTTCGGGCTCTCCAGCTCTTCCTCGGGTCTCATCTCCAGTTTGAACGAGGTGAGCACGGGATCCCGGCCCAGCAGTCCCCCGTGGGTGCTCCTCCCTGGCCACGAGACCCAGAGGAGCAGAGGAACAGTGGCGGGTCTCTCTCTCTCTCCCCGCCCCCATGCAGACCAGGGAGTGGGCATGGCAGAGGCAGCTACAGTTCTGGGGGTTGACCCAGATCAAGTGCTGCCGAGCTGAGTACAGTCCAGTCCTTACTGTAGCCTGGGAGTCGGCACTCTGCTCATTGCACAGATAAGAAGATTAAGGCTTCATGGTGCAGGTGGGTTGGCCCAGATGTGCCCGGGAGCCCCAGGCCCAGGCAGCTCCTGTCTCATGAGGCTCATGAGTACTATTGGCATTTAATAGCCTTGACCTCTGGATGAGGTCAGATGTCGGCGAACTCGCAGCGAGCTGGTTGGCCCTGACATGCAATGCCAGCTGCCTTTGCTCCAGTTGAGACACGGCTTCTAAATCTTTCTCAATCACAGCGTTCTAGGCCCCTGTGTCCATCCCAATCAAAGCTGACAAGTGAGGCGAGTCCTCGTTTCCACCTCAGCCCAGGTGAGAGCCAAACCTTTGATCTCATAAATGCTGTCCCGGGTGCTTAGAACAAAAAACACGGGCCCAGAGCAGCTGGATTTTCCAAGGGACAGGGAGCACCTAGCTAGCTGGGACTCGTTGAAGTCAGGATGTTGATCAGCCAAATATTTGCCTAGGGCGATAGTTCAATTTAAAAAAAAAATCCATGAAATCTTTTTTCCCTCAGATGAACTTTTCGAAAATCTGACTTCAGATCATGCCACAGGCATAAGTAGTGTGGCCAAGATCTTCAGATGGTTCCTTGCTCTGCCCTGGTGATCATGTGTATATGTGTGTGTGAGAGAGAGAGGAGAGAGGCACCCGGATGCGGGATGTGAGAAAAGAATTACACAGCAGCAAGGGAGGCCCTCCTTCCATGGCGTCCTGCACTGGCACTCATAGTTCCCCCAAAGCCTGGAGGAGCCCACAGATGAGGTCACAGGGGCACAGGCTCTAAGATAAAAGGCCAGTGATGCAAGGAAGGCCTGAGAACGGACAGGGATCACCTTGACCTGAGAGGTAGCTGTCTGCCCCATCCTCAGCTGCAGGCTGAACAGACATGGCTGCCCTGAGCAGACCCTGACTGCCCCCCTCTCTGCTCCCTGGGTCTGAGACACCCATAGGCAGGGTCAGCCTGGTTTCTGACGGCACAGCAAAGCCATTCCCAGGCTGCAGGCGCCAAGACCTGAGGCCCGTGTCTCAGCTGGGTCACGGTGCTTCCCCAAGGACGCAGCCTGGGAAGTATATTCTGTGAAGGGTCCTTCCTAACCCAGCGCTCAGGGGCCTCTCCAGGACACAGGCCTGCCTGAATCCCCTGTCAGAGCCCTCCCCTTCACAACACACACACACACACACACACACACACACACACACACACACACACCACACACACACACACACACACACACACACACACACACACACACACACACCACACACCACACACACACACCCCACACACACACACACACACACACACACACACACACACACACACACACACACACACACACATCCCTCGCACAGATGTTCCAAGTCAGCCCCCCTTCTCCAAGAGACAGCTGACTTTCCTCATCACACCTGCATGTTTTAAAGGAAACCCTGGTTCATGCCATCCCTGCTCCTGTCCTCAGGGAGGGGCATGTTGACCAGCATCCTGAGCTCTTCTGCAAAATGACATGGCTGAATGATGAGGTGAGATGCCCTGATTGCAAGTTCCAGTTCCTTGGAGCCAGGACCCAGCCATGATGGGAGCCGTCTCGGGTTCCTAAGCTGGAGCTGTTCATGCTCTCTGGATTCTTCCCTTGGTCCAGTCTAGAAGCCAAGCCTGGCAAGGGAGGAAGCTGAGGCTTGGTGCTTTGCTGGGCCCCCGCTGGCCTGGCGGCCTCTCCTCACTGGCCTTCCTGGAGCAGGTGTGGTCTGCAAGGTAGGACAGCATGTCCACTCTCAGCCCGGCTGCTCTCTCCACAGATCAGCAACGCCACCCTCATCATCTTCGTCAGCTACTTTGGCAGCCGGGTGCACCGGCCGAGGCTGATCGGCGTTGGCGGTCTCCTGCTGGCTGCAGGTGCCTTCGTGCTCACACTGCCGCACTTCCTCTCGGAGCCCTACCAGTACACCTCGGCCAGCATCGGTGAGTGGACCTCGAGACGGGGTGGGTAAGGAGTGGGCAGGCGTGTCTGCCATTGGTGACGCTGCTCCCGGGACAGCGGATGCCAGTGTGGACTGTGCCGTTCTTTCCTTGGTTATTCTGTGTCTTCCTGAAGTACATGGCCATCTTGGAACTTCCTGGGGGAGGTGGAGCTGTGGTGTGGCTTACGGGATGGGCAGGGTTGAGGCGGGGGGAGTCACGCAATTCCAGCTCCTAGTGCCAGCGCACTGCCGACCAAGTGGGACTGGAAATATTGTGTTGGTTGAGACCATACGGTGTACTTTACAGATCGCCACCTTTCTTGATAAAATTCTCTTTAAAGTTGATAGCTACCGTTTCATACAGAAAAGAAGATTGTGGCTCCATTTCTATCGCGTTATTAACCTTTTAGCATTTTAGGCAAAAGAAAGTGTCACAGTTGCTAACCACTTCAGTTCAGAGCGGGTGGGCTATGTAACCGTTTGACTTTCTTAAGCAAATATTTTCATTGTTATCCTTTTGGATTGCAAGAAGTTTCTTATTTGTGAATCAGACTTTGGTGTGTAGGATAGAAAATATCTATATTGATAGTCTGAAGTCGCTATCTACACTTTGGTAATAAATTATAAAACTTGACTTTCAGCAATTCATTTAATTAGCATTTTGTTTGACAAAGTTTCATGGTTAATTCTTGGGACAGACTGCATTGATTACCTTAGGGAATTTAAATATAAATTTTGCAATGTGCTTTTTAGGGGTTATCTAATTCAATTCGCATGCGCTGTGGAATTCTAGTTTTGGAATTTATTCAATAAATTAGGTTTGATGTGTGATTGCGTGCATTCAGGAAGTCAAACATACTGTATGCTTTTACGTTAGAAGTCTCAGTAATAATGTAGATCCACTTTTTCAGAAAGAAAACCATGTCAGTGTATGCCCAGATAAGGCGGGCCAGTGTTTGGCTGAAGGTGTGTTGACTGGCAAAACGTCCACCAGGCATTCAAGTGCTGCCTTTTATCTCCCCAGCTTCACAACTTGTAACATTTGCAGAGTCTCCGGGAAGCAGGACAGGTTCTGTTGCTATGGAGATTGTACATGTGGCTTTTTTTTTTCTTGAACATTGAATCTAAACACTGTCTGATTTTAAAGTGTTAACCTTCTTTACTAGAATTTTATGTATCAAAATGTAGTTGCCCTTTTGATTATAGAATTGTTTACAAAAGTTCATTCCAAGTTGGAATCCTTCTCAATACTAACCACATTATTTGTACTGTGTTGCTTTTTAAGATATTCAAAACAAAACTTTCTCTTTTTTTGGCATCATCAACTTGCGAGACATTGTACACAGCGAGACCATGGCTCGCTTCACTTGGTGATTGCTTTTGTTAAGAACATCAGTTCTTTCACATGCGAGTCTTGCATACACTGAACCTGATGTTCTAGAATCATTCTTTCAATGACCTCTGCATTACAGTTTGGAGCTCTAGAAATTAAAGTGTTATCCAGTTTCTGGGAGTTTCTGTAACACTGATATTCTCAGCTCTAAATGTGTTCAGTCTCCCTCTGTCTAATTCAATGGAGCTGCTGAATTACTTGCTATGCAGTTAAGATTTTTAAAAAGATGTTTATTATTTTTACTTGAAAGAGTTACAGGGGCTCAGGGAAAAAGAGCGATCTTCCATCCACTGGTTCACTCCCCAGATGGTCCCAATGGCCAAAGCTGGGAGCTAGGAGCTTCTTCCAGGTCTCTCACATGGGCAGGGACCCAAGATCTTGGGCCGTCCTCACTGCTTTCCTAAGCCCTAAGCAGGGAGCTGGATCGTAAGTGGAGAATCCAGGATTCAAACCAGCACCCATATGGGATGATGGTGCCATTGGTGAAAGCTTAGTTTGTTATGCCAGTTTGCCAACCCCCCACAGTTAAGATTTAAAAGGAACATAAATGTAATGTAAAATTCACCGTCTTAGCCGTTAACTGCTTACTCAGTCTCAAATGGCGTTAGATACACGCACAGTGATGTGCGACCTGCAACACTAGTTCCTGAACTCTTTCACTGCCTCTGAACGTATATCCACTAGCAACCCCTGCATCCGACCTTGTCCTGGACCAGGTTACTGCAACCCACCTTTTATGAACTCAGAATCGCCTCTTGTCGAGATTCGTGCAGTCAGGGGACACAGGTCCTGATGGGTTGCCCTTGGCATCTTGTCTTCCAGACTTATGCTTGTTGCAGCAGGTGTCAGAACCTCATTGCCTTAAGGCTGGATGATACCCTACTGAGCACAACATTTTGCTTGTCCATCTGTTGATAGACACTTGGCTTGTTAGGCAGCTGTTTTTAAAAGAAAAGAAAAGGCGCTGAGGCCTGGTCTATCTCCTTCCCCAGGGGCGGCGTTTGGCCCGTGTTTGGGCCTCAAGCCGTTACTGTAGTCCCCACTTCCACTGCCCTATTTGTTTTCCTTTAGGAGTTGAATGTGATTAGTTATCCCTGAATTTAAAATGGTTTAAAACTTACCTGGTAAAATGGACTTTGTGTGTGATGTACAGTCCTACGTGTCTTCATCTCTACTCAGGTGTGTCACCCTTAACCCAGGCAGAGTGCAAACCAGCTGTTACTGCAGGAATTCGCCTCATCTTTGCCCTGCTGGTTCTTTAAAGCATCCACAGCATTGTGGGTTTTGGGCAAGACCCACATCCATGGACGCAGAGAGCGTGTGACCTTTCAAGACAAGCTTTGTGCTTGGAACTTTCCATGTTGTGACGGGACCCGGTAGTTCATGTCTCTTCGTGCTGAGTGGTATACCCGAGTGTGGCCACGGTCCAGTGTTCTTACCCACTCACCTAGCAAAAGACAGCTTTGCCATCCCCAGTCTGCTGCTTTCACTAGCAGAGCCACTAGAAATATTCGTGTACGGCTCCTTGCGGATGTCACTTTACGAAGCTAGACCTCATTCTCGGCTGTCCGAATGTCCTCTCTGCCAACTCTTGTCGGGTCTTCTGTCCGCTTTGGAATTGAGTGGTTTTCTTTCCATTGAATCTGAGAGTTCTTTAAAAATGCCAAGTACAAGTTCTGTATGGTTATGAGAGTTGCAGATGCCCTGTCCCAGATTTCAGCGTATCTCTTAGCGGTATCATGTGTAGATAGAAAGTTTGGGGTTTTGATAAAATCCTACTAATGGGTCATGCTCAGTGCTACATTTAAGAACTCTTTCTCTATTCCCACGTCGGAAAGCCTGTTTTGTTGTGTATTTTTCTACAATTTTACATTTAGATCTGTAATCCATTCTGGTTTCTTAAAGTTCTTTAAAATTTCTGTATATGAATGTCAAATTGCTTCGCATCAGAGGTTGAAAGATTCAGTTTTCTCCATTAAGTGATTTTTGCACCAATATCAACAATCAGTAATATTTTTGAGAGACAATTTCTGCACTTTCTGTTTGGGTTACTTAAGCTTTACAGTAAATCTTAAACTGGGTAATATAATTCCCCCTACACACACACATTTTTTTTCTTTTTAAAAATTCTCTAATTCATTTGCCTGGCATTTGAATTTTGAATCAGTCTCTGTCTTTATATACATGCATATATACATATATGTATACACATATATATGTGTGTGTATATATATTCACATACACATATAGTCTTCTGGCATTCTAATGAGAATTACATGACATTCTTAGATGACTGTGAGAAGAATCAATGTGTGTCCGCGTTGAGTTGCCATCCCTTGGACGCACTTTACCTTGCTGTAGGGAGATGGGTTTCACTGCCTCCTGCGAAGGGCAGTCGCTCAGATTGGGAACATTCTGCCCTTGTGGCCTTGACCTCAGTGTTCTGTGGCAGAAATGCCCTGAGGAGGAGAGACGGGGCTGTGGGGGTGCTGTAGGGGGATCCGCTAGGCAAAAACGGGGACTACAAAATTGTTTTATTGTCACCTATTTGATTGCTGTGGATTTTATTGGCAACAAAAGGGCACAGCTGGCTTCCTTGGCAGGGATGGGAGTGAGGGGTGGGTGGAGGGAGGTTGTGCTCAAGGCTGGGCTAGTCTGGGGCACCTTCCTGGAGTCAGCAGGTGGGCTACGGGGACGCTGGCCCAGGAGGCAGCTGGAGCTGCACAGCAGGTACCAGGGCCAGCGTGGGAGTGTGCTACGCTAATGTGTACAATGCTTCATGGGAAATGCCTGACATATGACTGCTGCTGCAGATGCGTTCCTATGGAAACTTTAGCTTCAGGTTACTCACGGTTATGGGGAACAGAACACATTTCGTTTAGTGCACCGCCCTGATTGGCCATCCAAATCAGCTGTCTCCCAGAATTGGCTAGTCCCTAGCCTGAAGCTGGCCTTTGATAATCTCTGATGTTTTCCTTTTTCTTTCTTTTTAATTTATTTTTATTTTGTATTGGAAAGGCAGTTTTACAGAGAGGAGAGATAGAGAGAGATCTCCCACCTGCTGGTTCACGCCCCAAATGGCCACAATTGCCGGACATGAGCTGATCCCAAGCCAGGAGCCAGGAGGCGTTGGTGTTTGGCCATCTTCCCACTGCCCTGAGGCTCTGCCTGCCTAGGGCCTGTTACTCAGGGACACACACATCTCTGTCATTTCCCCCTCTGCAGGGATTGAAAGGATGCCATGTCCAGAGTTGAAGACTGGCCTAGGCATTGTTCATTGGATGGTGGCTCTCATTGTTGGCAGTGGTAGGGACAGTCCATGGAGCTGCAGAGTAAACTAGCAGATCCTGCAGAAGCACCAAGTGCCCTGGGAGGTTCTAGGCAATGGCAGCCCTCAGCCCGTGGGCTGGGCAACCTGCCACAAGATTTACAAGAGTTACAGAGCATGCTGCTTTGGCCTGGAGGTTGGCACGGTCCCTGGTGCACCCTCACATGTGAGGCCACGCGATGCCTCTCAGAGGAGCCTGGGGCAGGTTGGCATTGTGAGTGGAGCGTGCGCTTTGGCCTTCAAATCCCATTTCACTTGCCAAGTCTCTAGGCAAGCGACT